TTAATTTCATATGTGTTAAACATTACTAGCGAAAGGAAGGCTGAATCGAATGCACAGCCTTGCATTGTCTTTGGCTGGCATTTTATGCACCAACTCATGTATATATTGTGAATCGGTTGATTTTCTTTACGCTTTATGCATACACCCTCTTTTCTTTATGTGTTGTCGAACGACGATTTATATTTGTCCACATGCCAAACAGCAAAATGTATTATCCATTTTCTCCAATTTTTGAGCTCTATTCAAATGAGGCCATATCGAAGAACGCAAACATAAAAGCGTTTTGTACATCGTATCGTTCAATGTATGCGACGTCAATAAAATAGTTGTCGTTTGCTATTTTGCCATTTTTTTCGATTTGATTCGGTTGTTCAACAACACAAATGCCACAAATGAAAACAGTCAAATACTTATCGAAACCATTAGCTCCCACACACAAACTATTTCGACTGTATATCTTTTATTACATTCATCATTATCTATTGTGAACGCAAAGAGTTCGGGCATAGGGACGTGCAAGCGAACGCGCACGCGGGCGAACAAATCCATTTGAACAAATAAACATTGAAAAGAGGCAGTCGAAATGAGCCATAAGTTAAAGTGAAGAGGGAGAGAAAGAGAAGAAGAAAAACAACAAATCCATCCAACGTTAATTCGTTGTGTCTTGGTTTGCTTTTAATAGGTTGATAACCTCAAGAAGAATTTCTCTCAACTCGGTACAATCGTGATGTGTGTATTCGTACTGTATGTTTGTGTTCGTGTGTTCGCATTCATGTTGAGATCATGTTTTTTTTCTCTTTACTTCTGATATTGCCACGCTATTGCTAGCTGTATCGCTTTTTTTCTTTATATTCTGCATGTGTTTTTTTTTCATCGCTGGTAAATAATACCATTTTCTCATACATTTTGTATCATTCGTACCAATCTTCAATACTCGTGCTGTGCTTTACACTCACACAATCCAGCCGCCAAATGACAAAAGTCTTGGTTGCAATCGCGGTGTATGTTTTTTTTTGTCTTGTTTTCTTCGCGTACACCGTCTTTACAGTTTTTTTTAATTATAAAGCACAGAGGCAAAGAGATAGCGAGCAAATATATATAAAATAAAAATAAAATCACATATGAAATTATACACGATCCCAACAAACATGCATTTAGCAACTTCAATTATTCTCCAGCTTTTAGCTCTACACAGCACTGCACCAATCCGCGCGCACTACAGTAACGCATTCCATGTTCGTGTGCAGTGCACGAAATATAATTATTTAATTCTCTACAAGTATTCGTTCAATGACAGAGTGCGGCTAATACAAGCGCACACCGTGTGCATCGTACACAGACCGAATGTTACGACGTATGTTCATAGCTCTCTCATTGGATTCTTTTCGGATAAATTGGATTCCACGCCGCATTTTTGCCAAGGATGCCTATTTATTGAAGCTCGTTACTTTATGCCATAGCTGCATTTATTCATTTAGAATTTGCACAACAGTTTAGAATCATAGTCTTGTGGTTTTTCTTTGTTTCTGCTGTTTCGAAATGAATTTCAACTACTCTGCACTCATTTTTATTAGATTTTAACGAACAGTAACGAGAAGCGGTATCTTCTTTTTGACAATATTTCATGATCAACTGATTAACGATATATTTTTTGCGTGTGTAGTTACAAAACTACATATTTTCTTTGCACTCTTACTTCTATTGAACAAATTCAGACTTCGATACAACAAAGTTCATCTGGCCACGCAATCATTTTCAATTGTCAAAATTCATAGACGGCATTTTGGCAATTAAACAATTTAAATACAACGAGCTCGTGTCAATCAATCACTCAGAAGTCTGAAAGGCCCCGATGTAATTTGAGCTCTCTTTAATGATTATTTTCTTCAAAAATAACCGCCGCACTATACTTCAAATTTAGATGATTGGTGCCACGAACATTCTACGTAATACAACATCCACATCGACGTCATTTCATTTAGTCGAAATTTAAAAAAAATGCCAACAACAACAATAGATGTTTGAACGGCTTGGTCTTATCCATTGACTTCGACGGCAAAAAAAAACACCGCACGAAAAGCATGAGCTATAAAAAAGATCAAGCGAAAAACGTGAGCCTAATTTGCGAGCGTGAAAGAAATGTTATGTTTTGTCTCTTTTTCGTTGGCTGTGATTTTTTTTCTCTTTGTATTATTTGTTGTGCTTGACTGAAGTCAAGTTTCGATTATTTTGCTTGTCTGTGCTTTGTGTGTTTTCTTATCAAAGTAAAAGTAAATAATGCCTTTTTTATTTTGCTTCACATAATAAAATATCAAACATTTGGTGCAGAGTTCGACCTGATGACTTTTCTTTTTTTTAATTGCCACTCGTTTCGACCATTTGAATTTCATTGATAAAATAAGTTTCGAAGCGTTAGTACTTTGTGATTGATACAGATGCAGGTCATCAGGTCGATACTGATACTATATAGACACTTTTTTGCGCATACCAAGAAAAGAAAAAAAAAAATGAATGAAAACATCAAAATTTCATGAAATCAAATCCGTTGATTGAATAGAATGAATTACTTTTGTTTTTGTTTACAATTTGAATTTACAGCGAACTCGAGAAAGAAAATCTGCGTGTGTTCATTGATACGTATTTCTTGGTAATGTTTTTCAATTAGTGTGTTCATTAACATTTTTTAAGAATTTTCATAATGCTTTTTTTCATTGTGTATTTCGTGAAATGTTATGATTCTTTTGGATTATTGGATTTTAATGGGGATTATGATTCTTAATTGCTTAATGTATCATCAAGTTATTTTTTGTATAACTTGAGTTGAAATTATACGATTTTTATTAAAATTGGTAAGTTTTTCTGGACTCCTGTGGGTTAGAAATATTTTTTTAAATTCCACTTGTTTATCGATGCATCGAGCATAATGCTTCCAAGTAAATGGGTGTATTTATTTTTGTAATAACAAAACATTACAAAAAATGTGCAGTAAAAATGAAAACATTTGTTATCACCAAAAGGAAATACGATTTTTTTGTTGTCACGTTCTGATTTTAGACTTTCTTATTGCGTTTTCAAATTAAATTTGTTTTTCGTATTCATAGAGGCGCTCGATAGCCTGTGTATATCCAAATGAATCGCAAATCACAAATATATGTATATGAATGCCATCGGTTTTCGTTAAATGCACAGAAAACATGAATCATATTATAATACAATACAAAAATAATAATAAGCGTGTGTATATACTCTTGCTTGATTATCACTGGTTAATGAAATAGAGGACGGGAAAGACCATTCAAAAATCAAAACGTTGCAAAGAGATAGTAAAGTTGAAAAAAAAATCAAAAGTATTGTTGTTATAACTAAGCGTAAGCTTTCTGATTTGTGAGTACCAAAATGATTAGCCTCTGAAATGGTCCATTCACTGTCAATTTTTTCTCTGCTTCGTCTCTGTCGTTGTTGTTGTTTTTTTTTTTGCAATCGAAGTCAAGAGTTAGACAGTGTAACTAAAGATTTGCTTTTCTTTATTTTTGAATTGAAACTTTGCCTTTTCTGTTGGGTATTTCCGTTTACGTAATGTCTAAGAAATAATGAATACTGACAGCAAATCAGCGTAGACTCGGCTCCACTATAGTGGAGAACAAACCATGCATATATACATATCATATGAATGTATAATAACAGTGGTAGTCGCGAGAGAAAAATCCATTCCATTCGATCACATCGTCGTACTGTGCAGCACAGCACAGAAAAATGCATCGAGACCGAAGCGCTTTCTTTTTCTTATTTTTCTAAAATTGTTTCTTTTTCTGTATACATACCATTTTTTTCCTCTTTAAATGTTTGGATATGACATTTATAGTGGTGGCTCGTTTGTATTTGTTCCAATTCGACTCTCTGTCGACGACTCTTTTCTGTACCGATACTGAATAAACGGCCTTTTAAGTGGATGTGTTATAATTATGAGTATCTCTCTATAATTTACACATGTATACATGCGACCATTGGGCCGTCTCAGTTTGTAAATGCATAACAACCAAAGAAAGAAACAAAGTGTCGAAGGAATCCATCGGACTGTGTATATGGCTTTGTGTATATGGTGCATACAGAAAAAAACGCACAGACTAATGCCGTGATGCGATCAAATGAAATCGTAATGAACACACAATATGAATAAAATACATTCATTTCAATTCAATTTGCTGCACTATAGTAAGTCAACGAAATGTATAATATGTTCGGTTTGTTCATGGATGTTTCAGAATATGTATACGCAACAGCACGACACAACAACAACAACAACAATAAAAGCAATAACAACAACAACGAACAAACATACTCGACAGTATACACAAAGTATTTAGTCGATGATTTGCGGCACGGCACAACTAACTGCTCTCGCATCGATGCATGTATGTTAGTGTTCATTATGTTGAATCCCATTCACACGATCACTTTACTCACAGTGAACCCGCATAGTGATCACTACAGTTCACTCACACACTGTACGCTCTCGTTCGCAATTCGCTGTTACATTTCGATTTGTTCACTTAATGCTATTTCAGTGTATACGCGCCACAGTCCCATAGCCGTCAGTATGCGATTGTGTTTGAGTGTGAATGTGTGTGTGCGCGCCTCTCTCTCTCTCTTGCTGTGCGTTTTAAACCTGCATTCCAATGTTTCTCTCGTACAGTTCTCTCGCAATGAAATAACAGCAAGTAAATCAGTGTGATTTGAACCGTCGGTAATAAATGGTGTCGGTCATTTGAATAAAAACGAATTAATAATATATATATTGGAACACAGAAAAACCATATACACAAAAATTTTTTTTAGTTTTTCTGTTTCCTTCCTTCTTTGCGTTTTTTTAAACTGTTGTTTATTTGTTCTTTTCAAATTAGTTTTTGGTTTCGGTTTTATTTCGGCATTAGTCTGATTTTCTTTCGTCTATTGTTTCAATTTTTATTTTGCATACGTAAAAAGAAGCAACAAAAAGAAGTATCGAAAAAAAAGAATAACAAAACAAGTATATTTTTATATTTTCAACGAACTGCCACAATTGAAGTGAAGTGCTATCATATTTGTTACGCCGAACAGCTATTTTAACTATACTATATATTGGAATTCTAGTGCATTACGTGGCTGAAACGTTTCTATTTTCATTATTCCTTCATTTGTATGCTAAGTGTCGTGGACAACGTGCAATTGAAAGCATTCAAAGTGTTGTGTAAAATGTAAATGTCCAAAAAACACCAATCTCTTTTATTTCATTGGAAACCCTTATAGCAGTTCCGTCGAAAAGTTGTTCAAGTTGATAAAAAAATTGCATATATGAAAATAAATTTAAAAAAACCACAAGATAAGCCAAGCCGACTGGCATTTGTTCGCAACGCAATAATGAATTCTTAATTTAAATATTGATGTCCTTGTTTCATCGTGCTGCGACCGTGTCATCATGACTTGAAACGGTTTCTAAGAAATCCATAAATAAATCAATTTCTGATGAATGCCGACTTCATGCATTAGACAAAGCGAAAAGAGAAGAAGAAAAAAACCAAATCAGGAATATTTGCTTGTCTGCATTTACTTGCAGTGAACATTTTTATTCGGAAAACATTTTTTTTTTATGTTGTAGAAACTTTTGCAATACACATACTATACGTATACAGTTTGCTAAAGTAATTTGGTCAATTTTAATCATCTGAAACAAATGATACGAGCACTGTTCCGAAGAAAAATCAGCAAAGAGAAAGAGAGGCGTTGCAATCAATAAAAACTTAAAAAAAAAACCATACACAAACATCCAATTGAATATTTCGAGAAGAAACAGCATCATAAACGCAACGAAAACAACAACATTAACATAGTCGACGAGAAATATGGCCGCAGTGAATATGATAAATAAACTCGTGAATCGCGTTTATTTCAAGTAATCGAATTAAATTGATGTCATTGGTGTGAGTGCGTTGTTCATTGGTTCTACATCTCTCTCTGTGTATATTATGTCCATAGATTTATGTGCACACTGATTGAACAAACTTCGTCTGGTCAAACCGATTTTCGATTCAAAGCATTCATTCAGCGAAATTGTTGTGTATGACGTTGGCTGGCACATTAAGAGCACAATGCTGAAAATGTTCGCAACGCAATATACAACAAAAATTCAACTGCTGACTCTGCATATCATTCACTTCGAGCTCTTCAAGTAAATAAAAACAATCAAATGCGACGTATTAAAATATTATCACGATATCGTAAATGCCGATGGCTGGCCATCCATTGAGCAAAATATATGCTCGACGCACATCTGAATCTTACATCCGTTTACTACACTTAAATCGTTCCATATACGAGCCACATCAAAACCATGTATACTAAATATATATACATATAACGGAAAAAGAAACGACTAATCGACTATAATCTAATATTTGATTTACTCTATGAATCATGTCTAGCACATTTGAGCTGATTTTGAATTCAAAAACCGGAATTGCTGACAAACTCCATTCAAATCAAAATGTAACAAAACTGTCGATGGGAATATCACCACCATTTGTCTTTTGCAATGTGTTTCAACCAATCGACACAAAACAAAGGCACATTAAAGTGAAAGATAAATCATTTCTCTCTCGTGAAACAAAATGATAATCGCATGAATAAAAAGTCAAGCGAACAGATTCCAATCTGCGCCACTAAATTTTTGGGAAATGTTAGCGGCAGACATGAATATTGCTACATTGTTTAACTCGCATCAATCCCATTGCAAAACACGTATATTCATTTAGAAAGGCCACTATTTTGCCTTTAAAGTTCATATACGTAAATGCATATACTCATTCCGCCTCTCTCAACATTGCAACATTATTACGCACACAGTCATCTGAAAGAGGCGAGAAGGGCGCGATCACGTCAGATTTCTGAAGTAGCAAACATTTCAGCGAATTCTTTCCTTGATACAATGTGACATCATCATTTTAAACTTTCAAATGCAATAAATTTCATGCAAAAAAAGAGTAGAGTGCTGATATTGACAAAACCAGTTAATTCGCTACTGGCGAATGAACCATTCAAGTAAAGCTGACAAAAAGGCCACCGTTTTTTTTTCTCTTCTCTCAACTTGGTTGAAATGTCGTGATTGAAAGCATTCACAATCATCCTTTTTTTCATTCCACTACATTATTGTTTTATCTCATTGGGATCATAAAACGAACAAAAAAAGAAACAGAATGCACGCGACCATAATGTTGATTGTTGATGATGATGACGACGATGCTGGTACGTAAATAAACCATGCGAAAAGTTCAAAACACTCAAGCAATCACAATCCATTCCATAAAAAATTATTTGTGGCATCAAGGTAACGATGATAAGAGCTCTACCGATGTGCATAAACCACCACAATGGTTTAGCGAATTTGATTTTGGGAATCCCAAACGATTTTTATTTTGTCCATGTTTCCACAGTTTATTTTTTATTGCCACAGACTTCGTCGAATTGTGCAATAAATTGTGGAATTGAGTGAATCAACAAGAAAAAACTGTACTATTTAAAATTCTTTTGGAAAACTGAAAGTTTTTTTTTTGCAATGTGTTACCATCATCATCATAGTCACCATCAATAACAACATTATCATCATTCATCACTCTATGTCATCATTGTCGTTGTGCTAACTGTACTCGTTAAAATTTCTGTACATCCAAAGCGGGCGAATATTTTTTGAATTATTCACATAATATTTTTTTTTTATTCGAACGGTTGTTTATTTGCTCTTTGTTTGCAATGAAAGAGCGCAACAAGTACAGAAATATACAAAAAATAGTGTATACACATACGTAGAGACAGAGCCAGACCAACACTATGATCGGCATCATCTTCAGTAAAATATATATGAAACATTCTAATACAGCAGCAGCAATAACAACAACAACAAAAAATGAATTGTATCCAGAGGACCGTAACAAAAAATCAAGTCAGCCGCACGCTGAACATACATTGCCAGTCAAAGACTCCCAATCTCTGGGTTTATTAAAACAAAACATTCATTGATACGTGTTGCACGGAACATAATGAAAAACAGAGACGAAAAAACGCTGTTGAAAAGAGATAGAAACGAAATGTAAAAAAAAACCTCTGTTCAACAAAATGTAGGGAAAAAACCAAACTTTCTCATACATTCAAAAAATACCGAACACGAATAGCTCGAGCAAGAGTTAATCTCGATCGAAGCGCGCGGCATTTGCATGGTTTGATGGTGTGGGTTTGGCTGCGGCACACGTTTCGATATAAATCGAAAATGTGAGAGAGCAACAAACTTGATTAAAGTTGTGTTCTATGTGTGTGCCTACAATGAACATGCACGACACGCACACGTAGACGCTCTTTCTCTTGCCAATGCTCTGCTTGCCGCATTCAATAAGATAGCGCACACAGCATAGCAATCTAATACATTCACAAATTGCTTTGGAATTAAGATTACGTGACAATGACACGATCACTTTTTTTTCTCTTATAATAAAGTTTGACTGTTTGCTATTCCATTCAATGTTGTATGTGCCGCTGGTGGAGTGAATGCAATGCATGAAAGTATGTGGATTTTGAATGGTTCAAATAAAAGTAACGGAATATTCGCTTGAGTCGCAGCAGCCGCTAATTTGAGCTCTGTGCTTAAATTCTCGAAATCACTGCGAAAAAAAAATTATGATACATACAACAACTACTCAGAATTTGACGCATGTACTAAGTAGACAACTCTATGTGCGCACAACATAAACCAATAAGCAAATAGATTTGTAGCATTAGCAGCAACAACAGCAACAAAATGATATTATTATTGCCGAGTTCTAATGTATATATCTCTAATTAGTAATTCTGTTATTATGACTGAAATATTTTATATTTTTCTGTCCAAGTTTTTCATCGATTTTTCCCATTCCATCCAAGCCCATTATTCATTTTATGTTTTGTGGCTTGCCATTTATTCTGTACGTTGTGAGTCTACACAGATGCTGGGTAACGCTGGCACGACACTCGATCGCAGATCGTGATCTCTATCATTCTTTGTTTCGCCATTTCTCGCCATGTACACGAGTATTTCAACTGGTTGGAGCATATATATACACTTTTATTTCACTCTTCAAAGACAAATCGAAAAATAAAATTCAATCTATTGGAAATGTTATGAAAGCGCGTTCGCCAATTCGAATTCAACCAATCAACGAATATAGTGAGAGACACAGAGCAAATAAACCAAAAATACTTTTTTTTATGTTTAAAGTAGAAAAACAACGTACACATTTCTAAACATTTAGGTTGAAATTGGAAATATGTATGTATGTATGTATGTACAAGTTCGCACTAACTCGACCAAAATAACCTTTAATACGCTTTTTTGCCCCATTATTTCTTTGGTTCTAATAATTGAAATGAAATAGAAAAAAAGCAAAAAAAAACGAATTTTCGCAAAGCGTTTGGCGAGTTTTTAACATGTTCATTTGTCGATTTCACGTTTTCTTTTGTTTTGTTTTGTCTGCATGTCATTTTAAATTGTCGAAAAAATTGCTGCAGCGTCATTAGAATTTTGTTTTTACTTTTTTTAATTTCAACTAATTGAGACTCGTTATCGTACTTGAAGTTTCAAGTAAGAATCGTGATCGACCTTTTTCGCATTCAAACAGCAACTAAGATATCAGTTACGACGTAATTTTTTTATTTACAGAGAGCAATATTTGCGGATTCCATGAGCAAAACACGTAAAAAACAATAAAATGCTGCACTTCACTGCTAAATCAATTAAATATTTTTTTTGACTGTGAAATGAGAATTTCACGAACCATACGTAATCGATATAAGTTAATCAGTTTGCGTTCACTCATCTCAAATGAAATATGATTCCTGAGTTCAGTCACTTGAATCAAATATAAAATGGACTCAGTTATGAGATAATTTTATATTATGCAAACTATGTCAGACTTGAGTATAAATGTTCAACCATACAAGAATGGTATCCTGTGTTTGTGATTAAACATTGTACTCACCTTACATTAAATAGATCAAGATATTTTACTCGTCGTCATATAATATCCTGCGAACCATGAACTCTCTCTCTCTCTCTTGCGTTTATCGCCCGCTCCTACTTTTTTTGGATTGGATAATTAATTTTTACCAATGAAGCAATCGTCAATTTGTATTTCAATTAAAAACACCGAAAAACAATAGAAGAAATGAAGTTAACACATCCCATTCAAATATCAGACATTTTATAAAAAGACTTATCTTTCCATTTGGTTTGAGGAATACAATGGTGAGATTGTAACCCAATTTTGATATGCAATTTTTTTTTCTCGTCCAACTTGAATAATTTTTTTTTTGGTCCGTTGTGATCAACAAAAAAGCAAAAACAAACAACAATCAGCTTCAGACAATCTAATGGTTTCAACACGTGCACACATTCTTTTTTTCAGAAAATATTCAATTGAATTTTGTTACATTCTCTTTCACAAAAAAAGACTCTAATAAAAATGTGATTGTAATAAACAAGTATCGAAAGAGAAATTGGTTGATCAAAGTCGGAGTGAATAGCAAAGTGTAGAAGAAAATGAACTGAAAGTAAAATAGTTAACAAGCGAAAACTCTCAAAACAACAACGAAACGAAAAAAAATAAATAATATTTTCGAAATTACAACAAGCCGCGGCTTAGACAATCAAAAACATTATTCGCGTTGTTGTCTATCAATTTGGTGGTGAAATATAAAAGTTCATACTTTGATTGGTGTTATTGATTCCAAGGCACTGAGACGATTACGAAGAGCACCAGTCTTGGTGTTTTCAACGAAAAAACAACATGCATAAAATTGTGCCAAATTCAAACAAAATCATCATCAGCTTTTAATTGGATATTCGTGTATTTTGTGCTTAGAAACATTCTATTTACAAAATTCAGCTACACCCAAATCGAATTCAAAATGTTAAAAGAAACGCGTTTTTCTCTGATATAAAATTCAACATAGAAAAAAGAGGCAAAACTACGAAAAAAAAAGTTTAAGGAGAAAGTATCGAAACAAGCAATTGGAAAGAGTGCATGTTTTTGTTTGTTTGTATTTTAACGTTTTTGTTTGATTGCGCAAAACGAAGCGAAAAAAAAACGAATCAACGAACACGACGAAATCACCACTGATTCAAATCAGATTTCAACGAATTTGACTGGTAATTTTCGTGACATCATACATTCTGGTCGGAGAGTTATAAAATACCGAAAATATGCGTATTATTTCGGAGCCAAGCCTTGCGACTGATACATTAATTGCACCGAGTACGAATCAAACGGTCGTACCGAGTACATCACCCTCATCGTCAAGTGCATCATTTAGCCCGAACTCAGATCCTGGTATGCCGACCACAACATTTCATCCAGCACATAACAATCACAATCATCGACCATCTTCACAGCCACCACCCGTGATACATCAACAGCCAAACCAAAATATTCCAAATGCCGGTGGAAGTGAATTGAAATCAACTGAAGAAAATGCCGCCGGAAAGTTTTTTATACGTGGCGAACGGTCACAGCCCGCCTATCCACATCCACCGCCGCCACCCATTTCCTTGCTAACCAACAATCAAGGATATATTCCATTTACTAGTGAATTTTATACAACTGATCAAGGATATTTCATGCCACAAGAACTTTGTGCTACACATGCACCCATATGCTTGCACTCTGAATTCGGTAAGAGATACACAACTAAATTCAAAATAACGTCATCCAAAAATTTTACACTGGGTTTTATACATTCGATTTTCTTTGTCTTATTATGTATGAATAAGAGCCGATTGGCTCAAATTAAAATAGAATGATGTCAAAATGAGAGAGAATGAACTCAAAAATGTCTGTAGCTAAAAATAAAACCATGAAGAAATGGATTTTGCGATTATACTGAATTCCAATTCAACGAATCAACAAAAAAAAAGAGCATATTTTTTTCTTCCAGCAAATGAAGATAAGAACGGCATACATATTCTGAATACAAAATGAATCTCTGACAGTGGAACCGGCTACTCTTGGTTGCTTACATTACATATATAGATAGAAAGATATTGTTATTAGTATGATTATTGCTTCATTGCATAGCCCGTTGAGAGTGTATAGCAAAAATTATCGTAAATTTTCAAATAAAATGCATTTAAAGAAATACAGAATATCTTTAAAACTGATCTGAGAGTGGAATGTCTTCTGTTAACCTTGCGACCTTGGAGAGATCTCTAATAAACAGGTTTTTATTTTCATTCCAAACTCGATCTCTTCATGCGCATTCACACACATCCACGGTGATGTGTGCTGACGATAAACAAATCTTGACAGGTAGCTGCTCTGCTGAGTTGGACTTTTTGCCCATAAAAAGCGAAATATTTTCTTTGATTGTTGCATACAAAGCGACAAAAAGTATCCAAGCGTAAGCGCGCTCCAAGTAAAAACGCTTCAAAATTTAAAGTGCAAAACGTCAAAAATATTTCAAAACAAATATAACAAAGTACTTCAAAGTAAGTTAATGCTGTAGAAACTGACAAGCAAATCACTCTAAAATGTAAGAAAAACAAAGAGAAACAGCAGCAGCAACAACAACAGCAGCAGAACTGTTTTTTTTTTTTTGGAAATCATTTATTTGTGCTCACAAAGAATGGTTGTTGAAGCGATGAAATAACCCATTTTGTCGTTTTCTTCCTCGTATCCACATGAATAGAACCGTTCACTACAATTATGGGAAAGCATGCAGTAGTGCGTGTGCGTGCATTACCCATCAATAGTAATGAATATGTTCTATGACGAGAGCACATTATAATTACATATATGTATATTCACAAAGAATCGTTCTAAATACCATTTTTGTTTGCTTTGCTTACTCCGCCGTACTCAGTAACGGTTCTCCACTGACATCTTTAGTTTTTTTCCACGACTGCATTCAGTCTGCAGAAAAACGAATAACAAACAAACTAAAGAACCACGCCACATTTAACTTGTGCAATCAATCAATATTTTTATTGGCAGAAAATGCCAATAGAATGTTTATCTAATCACTGAAAAGAAGGCATTTCTACTTGACGAACTCGAAAAAAAAATTCATTTTTCTCTATTCTATCATCGCATACTTGTGCGCACGTTCGTTCGATACGATGTCATGGTAGAACGCTATCAATCCCGTCCATTCAGTCTTAGTTTTCGTGTATTCAGAGAGGTACACACAAGCGTCCAATGCTCTAATCAATTGTATTACCGTTTCTATTATATTTTACTTTAGAAGAAAAAAAAATGTATTCTGTTTCTTCAGTTTATTGACCTCGGTGGTTGCGGTTGCACGATGTGATCGTGCTTTGGATGTGACAGAGTCAATAAAAAGAGGACAGAATAACACAAAGATCGAGAGAAAGAAAAATGACAGGATTGAGTATGCTCTTTCAAGTTCTTCTTTTTGTCGTATTCTCTCACTGATGCAGAATGTTGCTTGGTAAGCACAGTGGTTCACAGTCATCGAACTTCTTATGTTCTTTTTTGCTCAATTATTTTCGACGAGCAAATTCACAGGAATTTTATATTAGGAGAAAGAATGCACAAAACTCTGTTTTTTTCTGCATTGATTAGCAATTTATGTAGGTCGTTCGCTTTGACCCAAAAAATGATGATGAAAACACTATTTTTTGTTTCGAATCGAACATTGAATACGTTACTTTTATGCAGTTCACTGTCTTTATTTAAGTCTTTCTTTTGTTTCTTGTACAATTTCCCATCGTAACAATCTTGGTATAGTTTATCGTATCATCGCTGGAGTTTTACACTGATCTTATAAATGAAATTTTGCATGGGGCATCGACAAAAAATGTGGATTGTCATGAATACTTTTGCATTGACTTTTTGACAAATTTCTCAACACTCATTTCGTATAAGTTTCATTGTGTTTTGCATTGATTTATTTATATTTTTTGTTTAATTGTGCCTTTAGGTCCCGTGACTGTGCCAATGGTTTCACAAAGTGGATCGCCACCAATTCCAATGCCTGTTCAAGTACCGCCTGGTCATGTGATGCAACAAATCGTTGATGAAAATGGAACGCTTCGCCATGTTATTTTATCCACAGCACAACATCAACAAATTCATAGTCAAGGCAGTGTTCAGCCGCATATCCACGGCCATTATGTAAGTAACGAAATATCTTGCAATTACCACTTCTTGAATGAACGAAAAAAAATTTCGGGTTTCCCCCGACTTTCAAATTATCGCCATAAATCAAAAGAGAGAGAACAAAAAAGAAAATCTCATTTGCGATAAATAGCGTGTAATTTTGTTGAAAGTTTAATTTACTATGGTGTCTACAAGACGGTTAGTTCAATGTCAACGACAAAAAACAAGCTCATCGATTTAGTGCATTTGAATAACAGAAAAATAACAGCACGATTGAATTAACCCGTGACCCAATTTGCGTCGTACTAGGCCTAATATTTCCACATCATCAGAATGAACGAGATCATACCGACGACGACGAGTGTCGATTCATTTTAAACTTCAGCAATATGTGTGTGTGTGTGTGTGCGTTATGTTTCCGATACCATAGTTGGAAATTCCGCGAAAGCCTACTTTTTCACCAATCCCATAACTGAAGAATTTCTTATGCATTGCATCAGAACCGTTACCGACACAATTTGAAATTCCACTCATTGTGTGCATAGACGAGAACCGTGCGTTGAATGCATTCTAACAGACCGTCACAATTCCTAGACTCACTTGGAATATATGCACACACACACACACACACACACACACACACACACACACATACAAATGTATCGAGGCGATATTAAGCCGGCATAAGCACACACACTCACGTTATGTATCCATTAATATTAATGAGCAATGATGCATTCAATGCTTTGAATTTCCATTACAATCAAGTGCTTTATTTTGTTCAATTCTCATATTGATAATTATACAATTTGGTTCCGATTTAATTACAACCACTGTGCGAAGAGTGTTTTGGCCACTTCTTTTCCATTTACGTCAATTTCATCCATTTAATTTTGTATTCATTGGTCAATATTTCAACAACCCATACTCTTCAATACATTTGTTCAATACCATATATACATTTATCATTGTCAAAATCTTACAGCTTCGACTTTTTCAATGGAAACGAATTATTAAAAGAAAGAAAAGATGCTTAATTATGAACGAAATCCGGTTGAAAGGTTGCATAAAAAAAGTAATTTGTTGCATAAAGAAATTCCACGAAAATTTTAGAAGGGGGAAGAAGAAGAAAAAATGATATTGATTACGTTGGTTTTTTGGTTGACGATTAATTGGAGCGATTCATTTGTTGTTTCGATCTTTCTCCCTTTCTCTCTATCTCTCTATCTCTTTTTCATTACGTGCAATAACATTCGCATTTTGGGTAATTTTACAAGTGGAAAAGGCGACTGAAGCAAAAATACCGGAAAATGCAAAGTGAATGGCACCAATGTAAAATGCATGGCTCGAAAACGATTACAGTCGCTATGTGTATTTCTTTCACATATTTTTTTTTTTTTATTTTATTTTCATTGTTCGGCGATATATTCATTGCTGAAATTGTGGTAGACGTTGATATGTATTTTAGGTATAATAGCAACAACGAAATATGTACCAACAGCAACGACTTTATATTTCATATACAGAGCTCACATGTATTACCGCCACGAAATGAATCAATCTGTAAATGCATTCATGATGAACAGAAAAAAGTACTTGTTGGCGAGCAAAAAACACATACACCCAACAACAAAAACAACAACAACAAAATAAAGTCAGCCATTAAACAATAACTGAAACCAGCGATATTTACGTGCATACACATATTTTTCCATTGCAATGTACTTTAAATGTGATATAGAAAGTTGGTTATGCATCGGCCGCGGTATCTGCTTTTGAAAGGTGCACAGCGTGTAATCTTTCATCCGCGCATCGTTGCAAATGCGGAGAGAGACAGAGAAATAACTGCACTTGTACGATTTTCATAAAGTAATTGTTGGAATGCGCGCATCAACACCATACATAACACAGAAATACAGAAACACACACACACACACATTCATTATATCTTTGCAATTGTCAAAGGAGGAATACACAAAAAATAGTCAAACACAACAGCCATACGATGAGTGGTAGTTCATTGTATTCGGTGTGCACAAAAAAAATGATGAATGACATTTTTAATTGTCGTCTGAATGAAATTTAATTAGTGTTGGATATGCACTGGACCTTTATTATAAATATTTCACCGCTGCTCTTTATTAAAAAATCTCTCTCTCTCTCTCTCCCTCCCTCTTGATCTCTAGCAAAACAATCTGTCGAAAAAAAAACATTTATTTAGCTGGCAAAAAAGACAAAAGCTAGAGATGGTGCAGTAACACTATTATTTTCTCTGCATGTCATTAGTAAGAGAGAGAGAGCAAACAATCATTTGCAAATCATTAACATTATTCCTTTAGGTCCGTTTTATTTGACTTTCCTTTAAATTACAGTGTATCTTTTGTGCTTATTCACGAGCCGAGAGTCAAACAATCTCGAATGTCATTTCATGCGAAGCAAAAGAAAACAACAGTCAACATCCGGCTATTAATGCAATCGCACACACAGGCAAAATAACGTCACACATAATATTATATTTTTTTTGTTTTGTATTTTATACAAAGCGCTTGTTCAAATCCGTTTAATGCGATTTAATATGGTTTCAAGATAGTCTCTCATAGTCATATATTGGTGCGAACGTGCACACGCTGGTATGAGCAATGTATACAAATTATTTCAAATACTATAAATCTTTCATTGGATATAAAGAGAAAAAAAAGTGATTTGAAATAAAATAAGCTAAAAAAAACTAAATTAACAACTGGCAAAGTGAATGTGAAATGTGTACGTGCTTAGAAACAGTGCACATACAACATTTGCGCATAAGCAAAGCCAACAAACATTCAGTTCATTGGAGAAAACCATTTCGAAATAGATATCTCCTCCATCTCTAGCGTTAGTTCACAGACAGCCGCAACCGATTAATACATGCAGCGTCTTAAAATCTATTGTTACATTTTTTCTTCTTCATTTTCAACGTTGCTGTTGTTGTAGTTGTTGTTGTCGTCGTCATCGCCGCCATCATCATAATAATCATCGCCATGATTGTATTTCTGCTCGTTATGCATCTTACAGTATTCCGTTTGGTTTTGATTGTGTGTTTGGCTCAGTTTCTCTTGAGTCACCATCGCCCAATCGAGACACAGACTTTTGCTCATTTGCTGCAAATATATTCTTGCAATTGAAAATTTCAAAATGATTTATTTCAACTTGAGATTTGAATTTGAAGAAGAAAGCCATAACAAAAGCAACAACACAAAACTGTTGTTTCATACACATCACTTTCACAACAACCGCAACCGTTGTGGTGAATGATCGGCGCGCACCAATTCAACATGTACACTAACAACATGGAATTCAACGCACGGCCACCTTTCAAGGCTTTTTGCTTCCGTGGTCGTTCATAATATTCGACTCGAAAAATGAGCGAGATGAAAAAAAAACAACAGAAAATGCCATGCATTCCATTCGAAAACGACACGTATTTTATTTTTAATTTCGATTCTCATTTGAAATGTTCTACTTTGAGTGTTCATTATCGCATTATTTTTGTACAATGTAATTTTGCATTAAAATCGTCCTGAAAGCAAAAGTGACTCAAAAAACCCATCGGCCTAACGCGAACATTCACTCTGCTACGTAATTTACTTTTCAAAATGTAAGTTTACCATAGCTGCGATATGCGAACATTTTCTTGGTTTTATAGAGTTCTGTCCTTGTGGAACATATGAATAAATAATGATCGACTCACTTGAAAGCAAACGAAAGAGAAAGAGAAAAAAATGCCATGCAAATTCAATAAATATGATAGACAAAATGTAGTCAATAGAAAAAGATGTGGAACAACTGTTTTTTCAACCACAATTATAATTAAAGTTTCTAATTTTGGATTTAAAAAATGCGTACTGAAACGAACTAGTTTTCTACCCAGAGATCAAATTCCAACGTGTATGAGAAATAGGGAGGCAGAGAGAGAGAGAGAGAAAGGCTCGTAAAATTATTTATAATCAATTAATTATGACAATTGAATGGTCGTTCAACCCCTTTTTCTTGCACTGTATGCAAGGGCTGCTGATTGCAGTATAACATCGGAAAATAAAGTGATTTCATTGTAATGCAATTGAATTCAAAAGCAAAACATCGATTATCGGTCTATAACGCGACGTTCACATTTTTTTTAAGTGTATTCAACTGACATAAACGTACGTTGAAGCGATACGCTTCTCATTAATGTAGACACAATACAGCGTATTGAATACACATGACTTTTGTACAAAGTACTTGAATGATTAAAATGCCAACAGCAACAGCACTCATATATTATTGTCGTTATTTCTCTTGCATTTGTATTGTATACGTGGATCGCTTTTTTGCCGTTTTGTTGCCACCGACTGATAAATTGACAAATGAAACGAAAACAACAGAATAACGTATAGCAGGGGAAATTCGTTATTAAACAGAGAGAATATATAGTTGTATTGAATTTTTAAAGGCAAAGTATGAATTAAAAGCAGTTATCAGTGATCATAAGAATTACCACCGAAAATTCTACAGTTGAATTAATTACGTTCAAACGTTGATGTGGCAAAATTGTGCATTTGTCAATTCCGATCATATACGGCATTTAGTCACGATTTATATTTTAATTTTATATTGTAATTAAATAAAGTTTTTCCTTACACTGAAAAGAAAATTAGAGAATTACAATTTTAATTTTTGTTTTTCGCTTTTCAATTACGATAATTCAGATCAACGGTGTCGGACAACATTTCTATAGTGCCGTACCATTCGCAGGGCCGGGTCCGCATTTTCATACGATACCTGGTGGTCATTTACAACCTCAAACAATGCATTCACAACACTCACCATCACCACCAAATACGTATCATAAGGATGAACGTTCACAACGACAGCATACAAAGCTACTAAGGAAATTAGATCAACAAAAACAACGAGAAATGAGTGAGTAGAAATGTTGATCACTAAAAACATCAATTTACTTATAAAACTCCTGATTCGACGAATAATAATAATCAATATTTTTTCAAACCACAACAGATTCGTCAGCATTGTCAACGCCAGCTCACTCACCATCACCACGAAAGGCTGAACTAAATGGAATAAAACGATCGGCGAGAAATGGCGCTTCGTCTGTTGGCACATCCGAAGACGGCGAAGAATCATCGAGTGTACCCGACGAAGATGAAGATGTAGCATCAATTATAGAACAATTATCCAATGTGCAATTACCACAAGTATCAGAAATAACTAGCCGCGGTGCATTAATCCAATGGACAGCACCAACATCAACTGAAAACGTAGTATTAAATACACGTGATTTGCAATACCATGTACTGTTGAGTGATCGAGGCAAGGAGGGCAAATACAAAGTTATTTTTAAAGGAAAATCGTTATCGTGCCGAATTCGTGATTTACGACCAGGTCAAGAGTACTATGTGTGTTTACAGGTTTATCTGGAAGGATTAAATGGACAACCATCGGAGGCGGCCGTTTTTGAGACGCCATCGTGTGAACCAGATCAACCTTTACCTCCGAAATTGTTAGCTAGATCAAAAAATTCATTGCAATTACGATGGAATGCACCAAATGATAATGGTGCACATATTCAACAATATGTGCTTGAATGTGATGATGGCAAAGGGAATGATTTCATTGAAATTTGTAAAACACGTGGAAAACAATATAGTTTACAGAAATTACAACCATCCACCGAGTATACACTGCGATTGGCTGCAATAAATGAACGCGGTCGATCAATATATTCAGATACGGTAACCTATAGCACATCAGGTAATCCACCATCACAGCCGGACACACCAATTCTAAAGCATGCCACATCATCATCTCTTCATTTGACCTGGTCACGTCGATCACAAGACGAGGAATACGTATTGCAAATCAATGATAAAGATAGTGGTCATGGATTCTTGCCGGCGTACACAGGTCGTGACGTATCTTATGAATGCCAAAATTTACGACGAGCAACTAGCTTTCTCTTTAGACTTAAAGCCGAAAATGAAGCTGGACAATCACCATTTAGCGAAGAAGTAACATTTCGTACATTGCCAGAACGACCGGGTCGTCCACAAAAGCCACAAGTAAAGGGAAAAATTCATGCCAATCACTTCAAAGTGAAATGGGATCCGCCCAGTGATCGAGGTGGTGCCGAGATAAAATTGTATTTTGTGGAAATTAGTTCAGGTGCTTGTTTTGAGCGAATTTATACAGGACCCGAAATAGAAACAATATGTGATCGTCTAAATCCAGGAACAACGTACCAAGTGAAAGTTGCATGTGAAAGTGTTGGAGGAACTAGTCAGTTTTCAGAACCATTGACAGTGACAACCGAAGCCGTTGCACCCGATGCACCATCTCCACCGTACTGTAGTAATCCACCTGAACCGCACACAGCCATCTTACAATGGGACAAACCGGATTACAATGGTGGTGCTCTAGTTACCGAATTTGAAGTCGAGCTACAGCACCAAACAAACTCACAATTCAAAGAAATCATCTACAAAGGAAAGGATACTTATTGTGTGGCCACCAATTTGCAACCGGGTGAATTGTATTGTGCCCGTGTTCGATCAATTAATCGAATTGGTTTCGGTCCATGGTCTAGTGATTTTGAATTTGCCGCTGGTGCTGCTGCACCAAATGCACCAAACCCACCAACCATCATTGTTCGATCGGCCACACACTTAACCGTTTCGTGGAACGAACCAAAATCAAATGGTGCACAAATATCCGAATATCGTTTGGAATTCGCTCTAAACGATCAGCATGACTGTTATAACATCACCTATCAAGGTGTCCAAGCATCAGCTGAAGTCCGAAATTTAGCTCCGTTCACTACATACTACTTCAGGGTGTGCGCTACTAATGTGGCTGGAAAGAGTCCATATTCGGATGTTGTGTGTCAAAAAACTTTGGCCTCCGTACCAAGTGCACCGACCATTGAAACATTCGAAGAGAAAGCAACATCAGTATATTTGACTTGGCGAGAGCCACAGGATAATGGTTCCGCAATTACACATTACAACATTGAGTACATGGATCGCTTGATATCAACCGATGGCAATGTGTTGGAGTGGTTTATTGAGGAATTGCATCCGGAAACAACGTATCGATTTAAAATTCAGGCTGTGAATGACATTGGTATCGGTCATTTTTCGAATGTGTTGCGTGTTACGACAAAACCTTTGCCGCCAAAACCACCAAAATTGGAGTGCGTCGGTGTCGGTCACAATTTCCTCAAGCTCAAATGGGGTGACGGTCGAAATACGGACTTTGTTAGATTTTATGTTGAAATGTATGTTGCACGCGCGCGTGAATTCCAAGAAGTTTATACAGGAACTAGTTACCTATGTAAAGTAAATAAATTGCAAGAGCAAACCGAATATCGATTTCGGGTTTGTGCCGAAACCGATCATGCGGGTCTCGGTGACTATTCGGATGAATATCTATTTAAAACAAATATAGCGGTTCCCAGCAGCATCAAAGCACCACGAATTGTTGAAAATACACCGTCTGCAGCGGCATCTGCAGCAGCAACCTCCGCCAATACATTCGAACGAAACAGCATTACACTGGAATGGCAGCACAGCAAAAACACATTCCAAGATGTTGTCGAGTATGTGCTTCAATGGTCAAAGGACAAAGATCAGGAGTTCAAAATGGTGAGCATCCATATTTTTTTTTTGTTACAAATGTTTTCTCGTTAAAATCCATTTCTAATATAATGTGTGTGCTCTTGCACAATTTCCAAATTAATTGCCGTTTCAGCTCTATCGAGGACCAGAAACTCGGTTTAATGTAGACAATTTGGAGGCCGGTATCGATTATACATTCCGTGTGTGCCCAGTTCGTCACGTACATGATTTATTTGGTGCCTATTCGCCACCATTACGATATCGAATTCCATCCAGTTTAGATGCAAACTTAACAAATTCATCAGTGAACAATCGAAATAATAGCATCGATGTGGTTGATGCACCAACTGCAACGCGCACAGTCGGCTTATTCAAACGGAATTTACATAGGATTACATCAATTTGCTCGAATCGTAGTCGACCATCCAATCAAGAGCAAGCTATTCTTCTTGTGATATTTTTCATGATCACAACGGTCGTAGTTGCTGCAATACTTCAAACATGGACACGATCAAGCAAAGAGTGACGGTATAAATCATTTTTGCAATATCAATAAGTTCACACACACACACACACACAAATTCAAACATAAAAGTACACATTCAAACAGAACCAAACACACACACACACAAACACTCATACAATTCATTCCAATATAAAGAAATATACAAAAACAAATGTAAGATTGACAGGAAGAATTGAATTGATGTAAGACGAATTGGCTTGCGTCTTAAAAATTGAGAGATTGAGATGACATTGAATTGCCATTTGAATGCGGGCAGCTCCCTTTCACGTGTAGTAAGTCCGGTAAACTTGAATCAAATTAGTTGAATGATTGAAATACGTTCCTAAATGATTCATTTGCGGCAAATAATCGATTTGAACGATGCAATCATGTGCATCTCACCTGCAAAGCAAAATAAAACAAATCAATTCACATTGCAAATGCAACAAAGGAAATAAAACACAAATCATAATTTACATTTATTCGTATACAAAAAACCAATTATGGAAATTATCAATGGCGAAAATTAAGTAAAAAAAAATTATACATAAAATGATATATATATATTTCTATAGATTCCTAAGAGATAAAACTATTCAGCTTCATTTTTTTTAAATTGTAAATACAATTATATGGAATTGTTTGCTTTTTTTTTCAATATGTTTACTACAAGCACAGGCACATTTTTTAAAATTATTTTTTTTAGAAAGCAAAATGCATGCATTTGATGTGATGTCCTTTTGCTTATGAAGCATGCATCAACGTATCGGTAGATAGATTTCGCTCCAATTGATTTGGTAACATGGAGTGCAAACATAAAACAGAAATCGTAGAATGACATTCATATTGTTATTCATTATTATAAAGTAAAATGAATAGTATATTTTTGTTATTGTTTCCTTGTAATGTACACAAGAACAACATAGAATGAGCATAAAGTGCAGTGAAGTTTAATTAAATTTTGTTAATTTATCTAAAGAAACATGTGTAAGTGCAACAATGAAGAAAAAAAAAATCGTGAAACAGAGACAGAAAAAAATTCATTAAAATAAAATAAAAATCCAATTTATACAGAGAAAAAGATAAAAAAAAACTAACAAAACGAATGGGGCGATTCACTGAAGAACTTTTGCGTTCATGCGATGCAACATTTGTTTATTTCTGTTTACTCCATTCCTAAATGAAATTTATGCATATGTATATTGTGGTTAAATATTATTACTATTATTATTATTATTGTTATTTTTTATAATGTATGTTTATGCGAAAAGTATGAGAAATGAAAAAGAAAGAAACATGGTTTATTGGCATAAGAAAGGAGTAAGCAAATTTATTTTGATTTCGCTGACAAAAGCTTCACAAAAAAATTTACTAGTGCGGAAGGAAACAGCATGAAATATATTTAACGAAAAAAAAAACTTTTTTTACTGCTTCATTTAAACGGTGTCATGGGTCAAAAGAAAAGTAAATCTGTAATTCGTGTTATTCATATTTATTGAACAATATCAAAAAAACATAATAAAATGAATGTAAATAAAACTGTCCATTTTGACGAAACTCTAGTCGAGTTGTCCAACGAAATATAAAAAATTGATTCGTTGAATGGACGAGAGATGTAAATGTTGTGCGTAAAATAAAAAAGAAATTCCCAAGTGAAAAATTACATTCCTTTTTGAGTACAATTCCATAAAATGCATATGAATCCCATAAAATTACTCTGCCACGAAACACAATCCAAAATGCGAGCACATTGTTGTTTTTTAAGTGCGTTTGGTCCACGTCTGCATTTATTTGATTTTGTACTCTTCGTTTTTTTCTTCTTTTTTTGATTGGAAAAATTGCTCTAGTCAGGTGATCAAAATTACGTTATGAATAATATAACCACGAAAATTTATGACACAAACAAAACCAACATACAGCCGAAAAATAAAAATGTCGAAAGCCAAGCATTTATCCCAATCTAAACACAACATATACGTTCATCCCGCTATAGCAATAGTAATGCTTTAGTGATTTGTCATAAATCGGGCAAATATGAATTCGAAAAGAAAAGAAAAGCTAAAATGATCATGACATTACATTAATATGACACGGTGAAAAGAAATATCGCTAATTGGTGCTATTTTTTATAAATTCATTTTAGGCGTTCGCAATTTTTGCTGCAATGATATTTTGCTTGTATATTTTTGAAGATTTTTCTTTATTTATTCTTTTTTAATGAAGCAGATGAAACTCTTCTTCTTTTTTTTAAATTGGCTAAGGCCATTCAAAAATTATGCGAATTATACAAATCAACACAATTTTTATCTAATTCAATCATCGCATTTCTTATGAATACATTACCAATGAATAATATCCTATTATATGTAATTTTTTTCTGTGGCGAACATTTCCCATCAACAGACACATAGAAAGGTTTTAGATTTCGCTTGGACATTGCACCAGACTATACATTCACATTTTAAACTAAACAGTTTTCATAGCTGACAATTATATCGGGAGAAAAAAAAAAGATAATCTAACATACATGCATTTCCTTCTCTTTCTCGCTCTTCGAGTGTTTTTATCGGGAATAAATTCATATTACACTAACTTATTTTATAATTAAACGTAATTTTTGAATCAGTATTTGAATGTACAATTTTATTAAATAAATTCATAAAATGAAATTCCAATGACAGTGAAAATAACATAAATAACATTTCATTCTTATTGAAAAATTAAAAGAAAAAAAAACAACAAAATCTAAGAAAATAGCACAAATTTGCAAACAGTTCATCGCAGAAATATCATACAAAAAAAAAGATTTCGCCCGCTCAAATTTTAAATGAATGACTTCTGAACAGTGGATTTAATTGATTTCAATAGGCAAGCAACAACATAGCTACTAGGAAAGTGTTCAAAACATGACATTTAAAGTCAGTAATGGTATTCACAATTCAAAAAAGAGAATCGATTTTTAAAAAAATATCGCTGTTTATGTTGGAATCGCACGAAATTTATAAATTTTAATGATTCGTTTACGATAAGTCTACATAATTACATGTTCCCCATCATTGAAACAATTATTTTTAGCCGTTTCTATTCTATTTAAATAATAATAATCAAAAAAAGTGAAAAAAAAAACAACTAAAAACACTATTTATGAGCTAAACAATTTTTTATTTCTTATAAAATTGAAACGTTTATTAAAATACGTAAATCGTTGTAAAACCGATTCTATCGATCTACCTAAAGAATAACAAAATTGAGCTGATGAATAAATATGATAATGTCATCTTTTTTGTTTGTAAATAAAAGAAGCCAGAAATATGTGAAGAGCTTCAAGTATATAGTTGATCGTGATTTCTAATACGGACTCAGTCAAATGCAAAAAAGAAAAAGCACACACACAGAGCTCTATCGAAAGATCATTCCATGATGAAAATATCTCGAAATTTTAGAGTTGGTTTTATGCTAAACAAATCCAGCGTAATAGTATGAAAAAAACCGACGAAGATTCAAATGAAAAGCATTCTTAATACTTTATTTGTCGTAAAAATTTCGTAGCAATTAAGAAAGATTGATGAAGAAAAAAACCTAGTTCTGGTCTTGTTGTGTTTTGTGGAGCCATCCCAAGAAAAAATGAATACTTATATGTATATGTCAGTTCGATTCCAAATTAAATATGCAAAGCAGTCAACTAAAACAAACAATAAATGTTTCAATTTTTTTTTGACTTTCATGAAAAATAAACAAAAAATTATACTGGAAAAAATGAAAACAAAATGAAGGAAAATTCTATTGAAAATGTATATATTTAACACTATGACGATGATGATGATTACGACGAAAGAAGAAAAAAGTTGATAATGATTATGATGACGGACGAAAAGGGGATATTGTATTTCTAATGTTGTATAAGATTTAAGAATTGCATACACAAAAACATCAAATAAAAAAAAGAAAATATATTCTATTTTATGTAAAAATAAAATTGTGCATTTTTATTTTAAAAAAATTAGTAGATGGTACATGCATTTTTGGTGAGTATGATTTGAATTTGTGTGCGCTTACTGCACTTTTGACACTGAACGCAATCATTTAAAGCTGTAACAAATAAGAACATTGAACGCACGCATGCAAAATCAGTGCACGTTATGATATTTTCAGCGAACATTCCATCAGATTGTGTTTGTATGCCTACCGTATTCACACGATTGTTTAGTCTCTTATTTTACCGCTATTTTAAAGAAAGAAGACGCCTTAAAATGTCGGTAAGTAAAGTTCTTAATTGGCTCATGTGGTGAAACATGGAGAGTTTTTTAAAAATTTCTCGATTAGTTAGTCGCACAAGGCAATGGAAATGGGGACAAACCGGGCGATGGGGATAAACCGGGCGATGGGGACAAACCGGGAAAGTGGGGACAGTGGCCAAAACATCCAGTGAATCCAATTTTAATGGCTTGTGCCTGCTGCGGCCGTGTTCATTTTATGCGAACAATTCACTCGGATGAAGTATTCATAGCGATGTTGGAGCGGGGCGATTATAAGAGATGGTTTAAATTTTGCGAAAGATGCATCGCCTGGGGTAGAGACCGGGTGAGAGAACAACGACGCGAACGTGGAGAATCAAGTCGAACATCATCACCAGAGCCTGTTGTCTCGCCCATTACTGCATCCGGTGTTAGTCGGCGCCCACCAGTATCACCAGTCTCGGGAGCCGGTGCCATTCGACGTCGCAGAAGTTCGCCATCATTTGAAGACGCTGATTCACAATCTGATCCAATCATCAAAGACGATCCCTTGATGACGGAAATAATAAATCGAAATGCCAACCTCATTGGTGAACGTTTATCTAATCCAAATGTTTCGCCAATACATGTAAATGGTAATTTTCGACATTTCTTCTACACCAGTGATAATAAATTTTGTGTGAAAATTTCAATTTTTCTTCAACAGTTTCATCCAATGTTGAATATGTTTTCGAAGATAATACGCCAATTATTATAAACATGGCCGACCAGCCCATCACATCAATGTTCGATGGTGCATTACAAATTGATAATATGAATGCACATCATAGTGATATAGACTCATGGGAAATGGATGGATCACAAGATAATTCAATGGGGCAATTCGGTCCGTTAGATCAAGATCTACTTAGTCATGAAAATCTACTCGACGATCCAAATCTATTCGAAGGTCAAAATATACTCGATGATCAAAATGATCTAGAAGAATTAGACGCAGAAAATCAACAAAATCAGCAAAATCCACCAGCAAATCTCTCGCCATATATTTTAAGAGATGATGATGTTATATTATGAAAGCAGAATTCATCCGATAGAAAACCAATTCGTCGAAATAATTTTAAGCAGTTTTTAAGTTGTGCCGAACCGAAAAGCAAACAAAAAGTCACTAAAAGTGTAGGGAATTGTTTCAATAAATATCTGTGTGTATTAATTTTAGAATGTTCTGTGCCAAGTATTCAAAGAAATTGTTAACAGTTTGATATCTTTTTTATGTTATGCGAACAAAATAAATACTTTTATAATTTGTACAATTCTTTTATTTTAGGTTATCACAACGTACATAAACAATAAAAATAAACAAAAAAAATCTTTGTCACATGTGAATTGAATTGTGTTTTTTTCTCAAGTATTAGCTATGTTTGCTGCTTGCCAGAGTTTATTTAATTCTAGGTTTTGATACAAAATCCATACAATTACTCCGATTTGTTATGAACTTCTTTTCCTGCATGTTGATTCATTTTCCTTTTTATTAAGATCTGAAGGTTATGATCGTTCCGCCAATTGCTTTTGCACTGCAAATATGAGCTAGCGCCTTTTCGGCATCGTCAGGTGTATACACTTGATCTACGACGGTTTGCAAAATTCCATCGTTTACATATCCGGCCAATTTGTCCAGTGTTCGATGACATATGTGCGGTCCGCCCCAATCGGACTCCGTTTTGAATAAAAATGACACACATTTTTCCAGTCTTACATAAATCTATGCGAATAAAATGGAATGGTCAGTTTTTTGTTGTTGTTGTTTTTGTGACAGAAAAGAAAAAGATTGCTGAAAATGACACAACCTCAAATCTCAAAATAAAATGACACTTACGGAACATAGAAATCGCATGAAAAATCCATATTCATCGGATGATAGTCGCTTTTCGACGGTGTCAATGATTATTCCATTTTCACATAAAAATTTGCCAATGAAATCGCGATTATAAGTTTGAGATGTAGTCAAAAATACAACATCATAATGCTCTCGCATTGTCAACTCTTTCAGCAAAAGGTCTCTTTCTTCTAACTCATAAATTTTGTCGTCGCTATTAAAAGCTATCACATCATCGGCACCTGAAATGACATTGAATTACATTTATTCGAATTGCACATTTTGTTGCTTTCATTTTCACTAAAAAACTGAATGACATTTTGATGAATTTGTATTATACCTCTTTCCTCTGAATGCATTCAAATGAACATGAGCAAGTTGATAATTAGAAAAATACGTTAGTAACGTAAATTTTATGTTTTACCTAGGGCTTGAATAACAGGTACGGATCGAACATTGCAAGTGGCGGTAACATATGCTCCCCATTTTTTCAATAGCTGCGTTAAAACACATCCAACCGGCGAACAGCCGTCAGAAACGAGAACACTGCAATTAAAGTATAAGTATCAATGTTCATTTCTATCTCAAATATTATATAATGTATACCGCTTTCCAATGCATGTTGTCTCTTCCAAGGAAGCACTTTGTAGTGCGGATAATGCGATGCAACCACTATATGGCAAACTAGCTGCTCCCTCGAATCCAATTATGAATGGTTTTCTCGATATCCGTGACTCTGGTGCAACAACTAACTGCAAATAAATTAAAATATATAGAAAATTGTGTTTTATATAAATTGCAAAATAATCACCTGAGATGCAACCCCTGACTCATACCTTAACAGAAAACATTAAGTTTAAAACAGAAATTATTAAGTTTGATTTGAACAAATTCGTTCTAGAATTCTCAAAAAATTGATTAATAAAAAGTCATCAATCAAATATTACCATGGTGCCGCTAACCAAACTTCATCTCCAATTTCTAGTCCACTTTTTGAATTTCGTCCGACACCTTCAACCACACCAGCACAACCTCTACCAATGACTAATGGCAGTTCCTGGTGATCGTATGAATTATATTGTTGAATCATGCGGCGCAAAGTTTTTCCATAGCCATCAGCAATTTGATAATCAATTCGATGAATCGAAGCTGCTCTTACTCTTATTAAGATGTCACTCGGCGAAGTCAAAGAAGGGACCTTCACCATAGTCGGAATCACATTCTAAAATTCATTCACAATGATAAATGATAAATTAATTGGTTTGTATGAGATGTGCGGTAGATTAACTTACATCAGGATCTCGTAGTGTCAAACAGGCTACAGCTTTCATAACCGGGACGGGATAGAATGGTCGTGCAATCCATGTTCCGATCACGTAACCACAGGTTGTTCCAATGCTTAATCCGATACACACATAAAATAGATTATTTCGTGCAACTAAAATGACACACAAAAAATGATTAATTCAACTTAATTTTATTCAGACATTATAATGAGATATTTTCAGCCAGATGAATCAGCTCAGCCAGATATCGTCAGGAGCTGAAATTGAGTGAAAACAATAGAAGTGATTGTTATGGCTATAATTACACTTACATTACTACAATCACTATAACAATCACTTTTATTGTGTTCACTCCATTTCAGCTCCTGACGATATCTAGCTGAGCTGATTCATCTGGCTGAAAATATCTCATTATAATATCTGATTTGGTTCAAATCATATGTGTCAAACGTATTTAACTCACTCTCATCACGAAATACAATTTGTAATTGTTCCCCTAAAAATTGTGGGCTCGTCAAATTCGAAGCAGATTCTTTGAAATGTTTTAAAGCTTCCAACAATTCTGTCCACGCATTTTTTATATTTTCTTTGACTATTGTAATTTGACCGTCGTCAAAAACCTAAATTAGAAAGATAAGCACGATATTAGTAGAATTCAGTTTAATTGCTCTTGGATGTGAAGAAAATGTAACGTGGAACGTACTCGATTTGCCATGGCACGACTTTCATCGCCAATTTGCTTGAGAGCTTGCATCGCCATTGTCGACCTTAACTAATATTTTTCAGAAATTATTTACATAAGAAATAAAAGTCAGAAGATTCGCAAAAATACAGGAATGGGTGCTCAACGAGTTGCAAATGTTTGTGATTTAAACTTTTCTTTTTATCGATTTTTATTTATTGTTTGTTTATAGTGATGCCTAAAATGAAATGATTGAAAAGGATGTTATATTACGTATACACAAAGCATCTTTGAAAAGCTCAACAAATGTGCAGAGTGATTGAACAAATTGATGACAATGAACTGCTTATCGTCTTACCTGCATTGAATAACAAAACTCTTTCAATTGCCGCATACATTCTTCCATCGTCTTCAATGCCCTTATTAGAATCGATGTTACAATAGACAATTTGATCAACAGTAAACATTTATCGGCAAGACTAGCATGTTATTTTGCTGAATATCTGGAAAAAAAATTGTATTTCATTTAATCATTTTGATTGAAGAAAAAAAAAGTTTATTGATAACAACAAAATGCTGTATATGTCAAAAATCGATATCACATCATCAATGAATGACAAACAACTTTATGCACTCATACTATACTATTTTAAGTTCTCTTAAACAATTTGGCATCAGATTCACTTTCGACTTTAAGGATTTGATTTTGCGAATCAAGGAATAATATCGACTTTTGCATAATCAAAATTACGTGCACAAACACATCTGCAACAATAATCTATGGTTGCACACATTCACGCACACTCACTATTTTCTCTCAAGATAGACTCATGTGAGTTTTGACACATTCGCTGTCATAACACCGAATATGACATTCCGAAACATGGCTTGCATTCGAAGATTCATTTTTTCTTCAAAAACAAGTTTCAATCGAAAAAAAAAACATTATGTAAATGACGTTGGTCCGAAAAAGTTGTGTTTTGTACATGTGGTCGTATGTGATTTACAAGATATTAAAATCATACAGTATGTTGCAATCGAATCCAAAATTTTGATTTATTAAAAAATTATTCTTTGATTAAAAAGTGCATTTCGTATAAGATTTTGTTGATATATTTTCTTTTACATAGAAAAAAAAAGAATTTTTAGTTTCAAATACACATTTCCCCTTAAAAATCTCTGAATGTTGACATGTACGCAGCCATTTTTACATCATGGCATACATTGTGTATACTATCGTTAGTTCCAACATTCACCACCAGTTGTACAGAGCACACCTAGTTCATAGCACAATTCAAATCGTCTCTTGTTGTAATGTCAAACACCAACCGTCATCCTATTCAACTGCAACGACACAAGCATAGTATATTAATTTGTCGATCGAAGTGAAGAAAAATCGGTAAATATGCAACGTTTTCTCAATAACTACGGAAAATCGATGGAAGAAAGTGATTCTCTCGTAACAAATGACTACAACTGGGAGGAAATTAGCTTTGGAGACGATACTATTGCTGCAGAAAGATTTTTTGGTATAAACAATTTTCAGTTTTATTTTTACAACCGACTACGCATCATAGCCATTTAAATTTATTTATAACCTCAATTTTTCAAATTTTATTCTTTTTTTGTGTGTGCACAAAAGCTGTAAAACATCCTGAACACGAGCGAAAGAAAAATATTGTTAATATTGAGTTCGAAGAGACGACAATTGAACCAAATGAGAACGATGAAAACCAACAAAATTATGGTCAAGCTAAAAATCCATCAAATTCAGTTGAATCCGAAAATATTTTATCGAGTTTAGGTGAGATACAAATCGATTCGAGTCCAGCACAAAAACAAAAAACGAATGGCATACGGAAAGGTGTGAAACCATTATGCGCTCAAAATCAACAATTGGTACCAAATGTAGTTAGAATCGGCGAATTATATGAGCAGAAGAAGAAAATCAGATATGAACAGCTATTACAACAAGAACGAGAACAACGAAAATTTCATGCAAAGCCAGTGCCAAATTTTGCTGCAATTCACGCGGCTAGTTCGAAAAAACGAGAATCGGATGAGCCTAAAGTTACAGTACCGAAGACACCGAGAGTAGTTCATACCCATCGCAAGAATATCGAAATTATTCGAAAAAAGGTATGCCCATTTTTTCTCTATACACGATGAAAGACATATTTATTATTATTTTCTTCTTCAAAAAAATAGCAACAAGAAATTGAAGAAGCCAACAAGATAAAACCGTTTGTATCGAAGGAGGCCGATGTGTTATTCAAAGCACCGTTTATGCCTCAACAGAAAAAGAAAACACCAATATCAGTGTCTCCATTCAATTTACATAGTGATGAACGGCTTCGCGAAAGAAGACAGTTCGATCAACAAGTAAAAGAGGAAAAGGAACGCAAAGAAAAAGAGGAAGAGGAGCGGCGTAAACAGTTGGATGATCAGCTTCGGAAGGAAATTCGAAAGGCAACAACATTCAAGGCCAATCCAAATCCATTTTCTTAACCAGGTTAATTACGTCAATTTTAACCACAAAAAAACACACACAAATTACATCAGCTTTTCAAATTTAAAAAATGATCTTAAATAAGTATATTGATATTTTACCTTTAATAACAAATACTATTAGTCAACTAACAGTAAATATAAGAAATTGATAAGAATCGAAAATTTAGTAAAGATTTAGTCAAACGAAAATATATGTATAATCATTGTAAAAAATTAACATACAAATAACACTGGTGATTCTGTCATTTTCATTCCTAATTTGTTAATACACTAACACTAAACAAAAAACACGAACGGAATATGACAGCTATTTTTTGAGAAATTTTAACTCTACATATAGCCATAGTCATAAATAGTAAATTTATTTTTATAAGTATTAGTGTTTGGTCGCAAATAAACATTATTTGATTAAACAGCATTTTAAATGTGTTATTTTTAGTATAGATTGTGCGTCATTTTGATTCTTCAAGCACCACTGACGATTGCATCGTTCTCGTTGCTCGATTTATTCTTTTTTCCTGGGTGATATTTCTTTGTCACTGTAACGTAAGATAACATATAATCAATCGTAGCTTCAATTACAGAGTAAAAATATTTCAATTACATGTGATAAGTGTATCCGGATCATCTTCTTGTTTGCGCTTTTTGTTCATAAGCTTCATTTTCATATAAGCCAGTCGGTATTCTTCATCGTCCATCACATGATGTTTGACTTCACCTGTTGAATTCACTTGATATGTATAAACGGGAATGACAGTCGATGAGACGGGAACCAAATCTAATGTAAAATTACAAAAAATAGAAACATTGAGTCGTTGCAATGTACACGCGTATTACACATTCGTTCAAGACATTGATAAGGTAACCAGAAGGTGCAAAAACCAGTTACAGTCAGAACTTGCACAGAAAAACAACGGTTAAATCAGATCGAATGACCGACTAGAAATGTATTTAAAATACAACATCCAAAATGTAACATTATGCAACCATCAACATTCATTTCTAGCTTTCTATTTGAAAATATGCAACCAAATGAAATACACAAATACACACAGAAAGAGAGAGAGAGACATCTTTTTGTCTCTTCGTATAAATGTTATATTAGTCATGGAAATTTGGACACTGTTAGAGCGAAAATTTCACCTGGTTCATAGGTGTCATCGTCTGTTTTTTTGTAATACATTGGCCCACATAATACATTGCCAATTACAAGACCCAAGAGTAAAAATACCATCCATTCGATTTGCTTGCTGCACCTCAACATCGCTGATGCGGAAAGTTCAAGGAAACTTTCAAATCTATATGTGAATGACACAAGTTAACTTTTAATCGATCTTAAAGCACTCTAGGTCAAGTAATAATTCAACACTCACGATAAGAAATGAAATTCGAAAAAATATTGAAATATTTTTAAAGTTTTTTTTAAAAATGAAAATCGTCTTTGTACACAAAGTGAGTACGTTAAGCAACGTCCGTAGCAAAAATGAGTATGAGTTGTGAGTTGAGCCACTGAGCAATGGTGATGATCATATCTACTATATTGGGTATGTGGCTACAAAAACGACTTCTTCTCACGCGCGATGCGCAAATATACGGATGGTGAGTGCGAATGTGTTGGCGCATAATTTAAGCGGTATTATTGTTCGCAGAAAATCACTCATTGCCAATATGGTCATCGTTGAAGAAACAAGTGAGCATTGAGGCAGAGGTGGGCGTAAGAGCGTGGAGTAGGAGAAACCATAATGTTACCTCTTACCTTTGTTGTTTGTCGTTGTTGCTGCTCTTTTTTTTTGCTTCAATACAGCAGCTATTGTCTTTTATCATGGGCAATTTATATTTTCACTTTACTCATTCCAATTATTATCTGCGTGCTGCATAATTTTCAGTTAAGTCTCACGGCATCACGGCATGAAACTTACGTCTACCATTTTCAATTAGATGTATTCATTTAAGCATCATAAAGATGTTCATAAGCAAATGAAATTCAGACTGAAATAATAAATCTTTGAAATAAATACACGAGGATTTTTATTTTTCTGAAAATTAAAATCATTTATTTATTAAAAAAATTGTTTGTTTGTTTTTTTCTCAATTATGATCCATATTTTTTTAAGTAATTATTTTTTTCAATAAAATCGTTATAAAGGTTAATCAAATTATATTCCTTATAATAAAATACTTACAACAGTGTTTTTTTTTTTCGCTAGAATAAATGAAAAGAAAATAATTTATGTTTGTAAATAGCTGTGGGGGAAGAAAGAAAAATATAGTTATTTTTTTCAAAAAAATAAATTTAAATAAAAATTTGTCGTAAATTTTTCTCTAAGAATTCCGCTTTTTTTCAAAAATAAAATGCATTAATTCAATATTTTGATTATCGATGCCCTTTCATCTATCACAAATATTAAATATTACAAAAAAAATATCATATAAATGTGTCTTGAATAATAATTAGTGTGAAATATTTAAATTAAGCATATAGCTATGCAAATACATACATTTTATCTGTATATTTTGACAGCCGCTAATTATCTTTTTTTCTTTCAAAAATAAATCTAACAAATTAACAATCAGAATATCATTAATTAATCTGCTTATAAATGCATGAAATGAAAAAAACAAATCTACACCAGTAGCGGAATGTATATGAATATGTTCGAAGAATGGAACTATATGTATATATGATTTTACAAACTAACTTGTTACTAGCTTAGCATAAGAGTTGAAAATTACAATTTATTTATTTATTTATTTTCTATATAATAAAAAAAGAAAATCTAGTTGTACTTTGCACTTTTTCTTTAGCCATACATTTTTTTTACCTAATTTAAATCTACTGTTTATATCATTTTATTATGCTCTCGGTTGAAAGCGTGACATATAAAATTCACAATCGGAACAGTAAATTGCCGGTGCAATGACATGTTTTTTGCGACAAAGATTGCACTGGACGGCCTTAGCGGATGCTTTTACAATAGCGCTGTTATTAAATACGCGAGTTGGAATTGCTTTGACAGTCATTTGATTTGGATCTGATGTGGTTGGCATGTTTGTTTGCATGTCACCATTATTCATCGATGTCATAATTGGTTTGGCAGTTTCGATAGTTTCACCTTTGGTACCCGGTTCAAAGCTCACTTTCTTTACGGTTTGAGCCTTTGGAGCCGCGTTACCATTTACCATGCTGCTATTTTGTGGAACACCAAAGTATGGTGAATGTTTTTGTGGTGGCATGGTGTACGCATTTGGCATTGGAACGCGTTGATATGCCGGCATACCGTTTTGCGGTGGTGACATTTGAAACATGATGGGCGAATGTTGATGTTGAGCACCCATATAGTTTCCATTTGTCATTGGTGGTTGTTGTTGTTGCTGCTGTTGCATAAACTTCATAGCTGGATTATATTGATAAACGTTGCCAGCGTTCTGTGGAATTGGAATGCTATTATTAGCAATAAAATTACCGTTTGCTTGTGGTGATTGTTGCATGTTAAAGTTTGGCCGTTGATTTGCTTTCATGTAATTCATTTGTGGAATTGGCATGTAAGGTGATTGAGGCGACATATTTTGAATTTGCTGTGGAATTTGATGCATCATTTGTTGCTGCTGCTGTGATTGTATGAGATGGTTTCGTCCATCCATTATCGGTGGGTAGTTAATAGCGGGCATTCCATTCAAATTCTTTGGGATGCCGTTCATATCTGGATGTGGTAGTTGTTGTTGTTGTGGTGGTGCTTGATTTGTACTTTGTGTGGATTTTTGCATTTGTTGCATTTTCTGTGTCTCATTGCGCATATCTTGTCGATATCCATTCTCGTTGGTCGTTTGCAGTGACATAATATTCTGCTGGCGACTAGCTGCCTCATTTTGAAGTTTCAAAATATTTTGTTGCTGTTGTAATATTTTGCTGTCAACTTCAGTGCCGTTGGTATAGTTTGATGTTCGTAGGACACGTTCAAGTATTGGATTTGGTATGAAATCGTCCTCCTCATCATCATCGGCAGTGGCAACTAAGATCACTTGATCACAAAATGAGACGCTCTTCTTTTTTGTACGTTCTTGAGGTTTCGATTGAGCATTATCATTGCTGTGGAGTGTTTGATGAACGACATTGTTCAACATTTCAACCTCTCGAATTTCTTCGGCTATTTGACTTGCGGGTAATTGATAGGAGGATTTAATTTGTGCGGACATGTACGGTATTGATGATTTATTTATTGTATTATTGTGCATTGAAGTCGGCGCACAGTCGACTTCATCATAGGATTCGGTTGAACTAGCATTATTTGAGATCATTGAATTTACGGTCATATTTCGTGCATTTGAATCAATCAAACCATTCATGTGGGTTCGAATCTGGGCTCTTTGCATCACCGGATTTGTGTTTAGAATTTCTTGCGACGATGAATTCGATCGCATTAACATACCGCTTTGTGTTGTTGCAGATGCGTCCATTGTTTGTGGCAATTTGATTTGCTCGAAACGCGATGTTAAATCTTTAACGGTTTTTTGATTTGCATCATGCGCTGCAGCTGCATCGTTTTGTTTGTTTTGTATATCATAACTTGAAATTTGATCGACATTATTGCCATTTGTGTCCATTCGAGTGCGTAGTTTTTGTTGTTGTTTCAACATTTGTTGGCGTTGTTGGAATTGGGCCAAAATGCTTGTGGTTCCTTCCTTTACATCGATTGCTTTTTGTCCATCAATCACATTTTCAATCGATGAAATTTCAGTGTTTGTTGGTGGAGGAGGGAATTCTTCGCTGGCTTGTCGCGAATGGCACGATGATGCGGGCGGCGTTGGATACGGTGGCAATTCGAAATTTGTGTCAAATCGACTGTCAACTTCGTCGACTGTATCCTTTTGAATATTTTGCATGGGTGATTGTTCTTGATGAACTACGGCACATGTTGTGATAATGGTTTGACATGAATCTTCGCTCATGCTTGTGTTTGAACTCATATTTGAAATGAGTGAAACGTTTGCCTGATGGAATGGTGTTATTGGAGACATTGGCATAAGTTCTTTGTCCATTTGTTGCTGATGTAATTGCAACTGATGCTGTGACAATGTTGAGTTTGTTCTCAATGGCGGCGGGGGTGGTACTTTGACTTGTGTTAGCTGCTGTTGTCGTGTTGCCATACAATTTTGGACATTTTTACGCATCAATTTGCTGCGTTCAAAGTTCGGATTTCCACCGCCAGTTATGATTGTTTGATACTCAAAGTGGCCTTCTGATAAGTAGCCGCTCATTGAACTACCGTTTGGACTAGCATTCATACCAAGACCCAATACACTGTCATCGACAGCGTTCTTAATTGGAACGACCGTTTTTGTTGCTTGTTCCTTTTGTTCAGCTTCCTGTGCGTCAGTTAAATCGGGCATTGAACGATTTTTACGACGAATCAATCCACCCATTAAAATCTTCCGTCGCACCTTGTGCTGTTTTTTACCATTCTTCTCTTTTTCACATTTTTCATCTTTGTCTTCTTTGTGTTTTTTCAATGTGTCTTTTGCATTGACTAACAATGGTTCACCTCCGTTCAAATCACGTGCGGCCTTATTACGATCCTCACTACGGCTACGTTTTTCCTTTTCTTCGCTGCGTTTTCCACGACCGAAAATGCTCAGTCTGCTTTCTCGCTCTGGTTTTGTTTGTGTTTGCGGCAATGGCAATGGTTGAATGTCTGGTTCAATGGCATCTTCATTTTCAATTAATTTAAGCGGCGATTTACCTTTTTTCGGTAAAGTGGCATAGATTCCGATATTTTTACTCACATCCATTGCACTTGGCATATTTTCTTTGCCATTCTTCATGTGTCGTAAGCTACCGCTATTTGTAATATTACGAATATCGTTTGGACTTAAGTATTGGTCTTTGAGCATTTCAATGTTTAAACCGTTGCCACCCTTTTCGATGAGAATACGACGATGTAGACTTCTAGTTCGCATAATTATAGTATTGTGTTTCATTCGGGCAAATGTCATCGTATGTGGATTTGAATATGGGGCATCCAGAGCTGCTCTTGCCTTGTTTGCTGCTTGGTTGCATAGAATCAATGCCAACTCTAAATTATGATGTTCTTCGGTTACTCGTGATTTTTCTAACAGTTGATCTGCTTCGATGCACAAACGTTCACAGTCACCGGACAAAACAACTGACTCTGGAATTTTTGCGAGTTGTGGATTATGATGCTTTGGCGGATATGAATCGGTTGAAGATAATGAATATGAATCATAACCGGCATCAAAGAATTGATGCTGCTGTTGGCCATTGTATCCATTCGGACTGATGCCATTTTGTGTGGTTCGCGTTGGACTCGGTGGATGACTGCCACCATTTCGTTTGCCCATCAAATATAAATATGGGCCATCAAGTGTTGTTGATGACGATGAACTGGCACTATTACGGTCACCGCTCCAATTACCCGAATCACGACGACGAGGTTGATTCAAATGGTCTGGAATTGAAAGACCATCGGGCATTTGTGTTGATTCAGCGCTCAAACTTCGATGTAAACCATTATGTTGTTTACGAATCATTTGTGAATTTATCATACTATTTTTATTCGATCGAACACCATCGACAACGTCTCCACCATTACAATGCTCTTGATATTCAGCGGTAACAGCTTGTTGTTGTTGCTCTAAACTACTTCGGCTTACATAGCTCGAATCATCCGATCCGCTTCCGTTGCTTCCATTGCTTCCGCTAAAGATCTTATTCTGAATGACACTTAAATTTTGATAATCGCTACAAACAATGTTTCGATTGGGCGTCGGTGTTATTGCACGTCTTGTATTTCCCATGGCTGCTTTTTCAGGACTTGGTGTAACTGCACGTCGACTTGCATTGTGCAGTGACTGATGCATTTGTGATGACATTTGTTGTTCAATTTGAGCTGCTGGCATATTTTGTGCATTTGCAGCTGGCTGTGGTGTTGCATACAACAAAAGCAATGGTTGATATCGTCCACGGCTACATTTTTCTACAACTGCTTCCCAACTAGTGCCGACCTAATTTTTAATGCAATTCAAACGCAATTGATTAGTCCCCTCCAAATTTATGTACAGTTTAATTTAAAAAGATTGAAGTTGAATCGAATCAAAATACTTACTTCTTTGACATTGGCATCATCGAAGTACACCCAAACTTTGAGTTTTGTGTGAAAGAAAAATGTTGTGTAATGTTTTCCGTAGTATGAAACGACGCCAACCAGCTCGTGTTCAACATTTTGCGACCAACGTAAGTCGGCCACATGATGAAATACGTCGCGTATTCTAAGCGACGTTCCAATTGATTTGAGTACTGCATGTACTTGATCGGCGGCCGGTCGTTCTGAGTCCCAAACCACACCGATCGAAACCACATCTGGACGATTTAAAAGTGCACGTGCAATTCCAATTTTGTTTCCACAAGCATTCTACACAAAAAAAAAAAAAATACACAAAATTGAAATAATAAAATGAATAATTTTTGGTGCCAATTCGTTGATGTTAATCACTTTTTTTGATCAGTGTATTTTGAACTATTACCAAATGGTAATAAACATTGTACATACATGCCAAGTCAACAGTTTTTTTTCTTTTCATTTTGTATTCAATATACTTGTCACATGTGCCGTATTTTTTGTTGAATAGAAAATATATTGTTTTGTCCATGAAACTGCTACATACACAACATGAAGTAAAAGAGACGTTTGAATTCAACTTTGTGTGCACTATTAATTTGAATCAAGGTTAAATGCATTCACTTCAAGTAAATTTGGTTCCAATGTTCATTCCATTTTATTTTTGACATCATATTTTTCCCATTTGGCATACAAAACCACAATTTCAAATAGACTGATGTTGAGATGAATGTGAATAAAAAACTAATAATTTCAAAAACGATTTTTATTAATACAATGAGTTTCTTTGAATATTACGAACATTTGCCAGTTTCACCGTTGTGAAAAACAGTAAAGTGTGTATTTATAATAAGCAGGACTCGTACGAGGACATAAATATAAAGGTTAATGATGTTAAATATTCGTAATTTACGCGCGTATGAAAAGCAGTTATTGCAGTGTCATTGTAATTACAGTCGTTGTCTTTCCAAACGAAGAAGAGAAAAGATTCGCGACAACTCTTGAAAGTATATAATTTTTTTTTCTTCGAAATAGCCAAACAACGTTGGGATTTAAATGTTGACGTCAGCAGAATGACGAATGAATTTTAGCTTTTTTTTCGTAACATCTTTTTTTTCTGTGCGGTTGATTGGCATGTACGAAATGATGACGATGACAACAACATTGGTGAGCAGCATTTTCATGCTGTTTTACTGACACGATATTGCTGTATGCATTGCGCTGCCAACTGATGTCCATACACATACGTTAAACTGAGCGTACCAAATGTTTTGCATAAACTCGATTAAACTATGTGTGCTTTTCACTCAATTTAACTTTCATTTTGTGGCTATGCACGCAGCATTCATTTATTGAATGATGATCTGAACACTTACCGGACAATCTCGTATATCTCCCAACTGCGAAGCACTTCTCAATAGCTGACCAAACGACTGTTTCTGACAACTCTGTGCTGACCGCAAATTTTGTGATGTGAGTGCCGACGCAGAAACATAGTGAACCATCTGAAATGGATAGAAAAACGAATATGCATAAAATAGAAATCAATTCGAATAAACTAATTACAACATTTTTCTCTGAAGTAAAATAAAAACAACTTGTATTTATGTACTGAGGGCAAAAATAAATGTATGGCAAAGCGAAAACGAAAGATTCGAATCAAATCAAAAAAAATGAACGGAAGTTTTCGATCGATATGTGTATATATCAAACGGGGCTGGGCCAATGCTGCAAACAGTAACTCATTCGCCTGGCAGAACGAATAAGATAATTCCAGATCAAACATTTACCGTTATTCGCTGCCAACACGAACTGTTCACAAGAGAGTTTAAAGTACTCACATGAGTTCAATGATACATACATCATACACATATACCAACGCAAAAATGCGTGCAAATAATATATCATGCGACTGTTGATACTGACGCTTAATCATTTGCATACATTTTCTTTTCTCACTTGATGTTTTTTTTACTGTTGTTTTTTCTCTCTCTTCGCTTTGCTAGTAGACAGTAGACAGTTGGCTGTGGCATAGATGTGAATGCGTTTACATTTGAGTCATTTAAAATAAACGTAGATCTACTCATATGGCCATTCAAACACACTTCATTAAATATTTGAACATATTGTCAGAGTCACATGGAGAATTCACTTGAATTTCCAAAAATGGCTAAATCAAAGCCACAATCTGATAATTATTCTGTCAAATCCGCACGATTTGAATCGAAATGAAACAAGAAAACATTATGCAAATCGGACTTTGGTGAATTTTGAAAGGGATTCGAGTGGTTTTTTTTCGCCTATTATTGTTAATACTGATATATATGAAATGATCGTATTATGTTTATATGAAAAGCGTAAACAAATTTACTACTTTGGTGTATAAGAGGACAGTATTAGATCGCAAATTCGGGGTTTAAAAGAGCTTTGAAAAAATATTTGTTTTTTTGGAAAATAAAAATCAAAAGAGCTCGTGGCCAATGCCAACTGAATATATTGAAAAATCGATTATGTGGAAACGGTTTTTTTCTAAATTGGAGATGCGTAACGGTTAACGACATAATTGACGACATTGAAAAGTTATTTTAATTTAATCAGATTAAACTCTTCATCGAATCAAAGAAAACCAGATTTTCCAATCATCGCGTCAAGGTTCTTTTAATTAATGCATATTCTCTATGCGATCGATATTCATGAATTACTAATCATTCATTGGTTGCGCAGGCTGGATAGGTGCTGATGATTGGCAATCAATGTAAATCTAAGTTATTGTTATTAAATTACCCGTCGGACAAGTTGAACTCATGTTCAAAACGCTGTACATTGAAGAAGAATATACATATACTTTATTCATAACATCTCGAATCGATCGGAAGTGCCTTTTTTCCCAGAGTTCTGAACAGAAACCAAAAAACCGCAAGAGTCGAGCAAAAGCAAACTGTAATGCCAATGCATGATTCAAGATTGTTTATTTCAAATGGATAAGGTGTCATTGTTTTAATTTCAGTTGGTTCAAGCCGTTTCTTCTTCTTCGTCCATACATTCAAGTAAATCAAATTGATTAAATGTAGGTTTTATATCTTATTTTTTTGCCATTTTTTTCCCGCGCGCGTGAAATTTCATTTTTCATACAATTTTGTTCTTCGCTTCCTTCCAACTGAATCGGTCAAATGGTAGTGTATACTATGCGCACATGAAGTGTTCTAGCCGATGTTTTGCAATGAAACTAGATGAAACATAACAATACAATATCACGGTCGATGTAGAAAATACAACGAAAAATGTGTGAAATAATACATATATACATCAATTGAATGAAACAAAAGAACACGTTGCCACTTTGAGGTAGTGAACGTGTTGCGAGTGTTTGTTTGTTTGCGATGTGTGGCGCTCGGGCCATTTCATTATATGTACAATGTACATCGAACGAACGAATGAGTGAATGAGTTAGAAACAGACCGACAAATTAATGTATGAGATTGCTTTTGACGCTGTTGTTATTGTTTTTGCTCTGTTTTTATTTTCTCTATTTTTTCTTTCTCTCAAGCCAAGCTTTTTAATTTAGATCCATTTGGGTTGCGCGTCGTTGTTGTTCACTTTCAAAGATTTTGAAATTTCGTAGTATTTCGCTTTAGTTCTTGTTATTTTTGTTTTTAAGTTTAAATGTTAATTTTTACGTTTGAATTTAACATGAACTCAATGCGTGTGATTTCCGCTTTTTATTTTAGTCAAATGAATGTACAGAATACACACACAAGACTGGATGGAATAACTAATTTACTTGAAGACGAAAAAGTGCGATGAGAGCACTATTTTTTTGTTGTCTTAAATGAGGGTTATAAGTGTGTACAATCATTACCTGTGTGAATGGCAGTTGTTCCGAATTGGCTCCACATTCGCATACACTCTGTTCAACAACTCTCATCGCGAATTTCTGATGGGCAACACATTGTGGTGTATTGCAATCGTCCATCTCTTCGGACGATAAATGTGAATGAACTCGATGCAATAGAAGCTCAAAGCATTCGGCTGCATCGCCTAAACATCCCAATGGAAATCGGCGACCAGCAAGTGGTCCACTTGCAAGAGCTCTTCTCAATGGCTCCGGACACAATGCGGGCTCTGAACTTGTTTGCAATTGTTGAAATAATTCCTAAATTAACCACAAATAAAAAGAAACAAATATAGAAATTAGAATTAGTCACTTCGATTTAATGTGCGGATGAGAATATGGCGCCAAATACTATATGTTAAAATAAAGAAATAAATAAATAAAGAAATGTTACAAAGCATATTCGAATGGTCTCAAAAACATAATAGCTATAAAAACGAAACCTGTTGGAAAAAGCATAAATGAAAAGAAACGGGTAACTTTTAGATAGACACTTACGACAATGGCGCGAATACAATCTTCCATGTATTCTTGTTCGCTGATCGTTTTTGCTTTGATCATTTGTGGTGTTGACTTTGTGTCGTTTGTTTCACATTTCAGTAAATTTTGTTTGTTGTCATCTTTGCCATCGTTATTCGTTTTGATTTCATCACTTTTATTATTTTTAATCGAAGCGCTGCCATTTGAGCCACCATTGTTTGTGGGCTCCTTTCGCTTATACCGAAACTTAATCATCTTTAAATGATTTTTTTTTTCGCTTGGCCTTTTATTGCAGATGATTGAGTGTCACGAAGAACAATTAGTATTTTGGAATTGAACGATTACGTCATTACATATGGACAATGTGCTAATGACTTGTTCAACATATCTATTCGACGCCTATTGTTTTATTACGTCACGACGTTTGGATCATTTAAAACACTACTTGGCTCATTAAACTGAATTTAATCTGTGAAAATAATAATTTTGTTTTTTTCAATTAACCACCAATCTGGGTCATTTCACCAAATCCCTGAAGCTTTTAACTAATTTGAAAATCAAAAGTGCGGTCCTCCATTTAACATTGATTCCAAGAAGATACAATTTATGAACATCATTTTTGAATTACGTAAGCATATCATTTTTCATGTCACTTTATTTGTACATTTTTCTTCGTGCAAAGAACGAACAAAATAAGCGCGTGAATAATTCACTTTTGTAATTTCGTATTTGTCATATTCATCCCTATTTCCATTTGATGAGACTTTGGATTTTATTTTATCAGGTCACGCAATGTTTGCGAAAAAGCAAAAAAACGCCGAGAAAACAAACTGACAATGTCAGACTCATTAAAACAATATGGTTAGTGAACATGTGCACAACTTAATTGCCTAAAAGGATCGACCCTATTTATTTCACACTGCAAATACGATGCATTGTGTATGAAGTCGATTCGATTGAATTCTAGATTTTATGAATGCGAAAAGAAATGAAAAGTGAAACAAAAAAAAAAACAAGTCAAATTAAATGATTACCGCAACAGTTCGTGCACATGTTCGACTTTGTTGATTCTATGTCTGCACCGTAGTATATGCAAATGGATGGGCTTCAATTCACTGTTCGATGTCTCTAAATATGGTATTGTACACGCATAAGGTTGAAAGTAAATCAACCAAATAACAATAGAGCATGGATGAATACAAACACCAAAGCCGATCGAACATATTGGCAATCGTTTTATATTATAATAATTTAGCGAAGAGCTGTTTGTTTGGTTCGCTTGCGTACACACCTGTCGAAGCTTCAGTGGTGTATAAGAATACACGCCTGACGACAACGCATTTATTTGTAAACAATAGGATTTACGGAAAAGAATAATAAAAGTGGACGCAAGAAACGGAGGGCATCACGAGAAGTTTCAGCTTGACGCAACGGCAACAGAAAATATAAGAAATTACTAGGTTTGGCGTCATTTTCATTTTCCTCATTTATTATGCGCCCGTACTTTTGTCTTTTTCAATTCTTTGTCCGGATTGCTTAATAAATAATGACTATGAGTATAATCATACGATGTGTAACACGTGTTCTCTCCAAGTGAAGATTCGATCTGGTTGTTTTTGCTTTTTTCATTCTTTATGTATTATTTATGACAAATGTATAACAATTTGCTGCTTTATTATTCGGAAGGTTGGAATAATTATCAACTTTCAGTCAATAATAATACATTTTTTGGCTGACGTAGAATTTTTAAATTCAAACAGGTGACAACAAATTCTTAATTATTGCTTGAAATGATTCGATGGAATATTCGAATGGGTTGTCCATAAGGGAAGAAGATCACTTTTTGAGTAAATAATCAATTTATGCCATGACATACAAACAACGGCATATTTTACTCAAACCAAAAAAAGAAAAAATTGAAAATCAGCAAGTCGATCGACCACAAACCGTTTTTTCTCCTCTTTGGTAATGTTTTTGCGCATGACTACCAAATTTACCTATCGATGAACCCGAAATTCAAATGTCGAAAAACAGAGAAAGAGTTTTGTGTTGTTTCCATTTGACATGTGGTATGCGTTGAACCGTAGCAAAAGAAGAAAAAAAAACGTCTGTACAAATTTGTGTGCTGTTTAATACGCCTTTGTTTGGTAGTTCGCATACAATTTATCATTTCCTTTCGGAATAATACGGTGATTTTGGGTTCATTTTAATTTTCGATTTCCCTCTTTACCATTTCAAATTGAATGGCGAAAAAGTGCACATAAAATAGAACACATAAAACTTCTAACCGAAGTCAATGTGTAACAAGTGTTGTACTTTCGAATCATGATAATTTACATTGGCAACTTGTTGGACTCTTCTTGATTGCCATTGTTTTCATTTTGTTACTCAGCGCTTCTCAGACGTTGAATGACACTAAAATCACATCTTTTCGCCGTTCATTTTCAAACTCTTTTTAGTTGTTTAATTAGACCATCATGGCCAATAAGATGATGAAGAATTCTCATTGTGAAAGAAACTAAGTACAATTTTAAGGCTCAATGTCGCATCAATTCGTTGAATTAAATTTTTAGCAGAATTTGCAACCGTTTAGTTGGTGTAGGGAAAGCGTTAAAATTAATTGAATTTCCGGTAGTTGATGATGTCTTAAAACCATAGGCATGCATAATGGATGCATGTTTCATATTGAAACGCATGATATAACTCAAATGTAACGACTTCTTAACGTTTTATAAATGCATTTACATGTGAATTGTGTAAGGCAAGATATATTCAAAAGAAAATAAAAGAAACCACCGTGATGGTTGGTGATGACTCAACTTCAGCGCGGCTGGCCATTACTTCTATCACATTGAAATATTGCCATTTCAATGAAAAGAAACCGACTTCTTTGACACTGTCTCGCGTTGAGCCAAAACAAAATACCGAAAGATAAACAGTTTTTTTTATGTTTTCTTTCTTATCCATTTCGCTTTTTTCAATGTTCAAATCATTTACATTCAAACCGATACAAGGAATTCGAATATTACTCATCGGAATACGCGGAAGGCGCATTTTGTTCGAATGCCTCAGGAATCATTTTTTATTTTTTTTTCTTCTTCTTCTTCTTGTTGTTGTAAACGAATTGCCTACTGATAAAAGCGACATTCTTCTACTGATTATGCGCTATAGCCTTACGTAAAGTTGTTCCTTATGATGTTTTCATATCGATTACATTATATTTCAGTACAAATGAAGCGTTACATCAATGAAATAAATGAAAATGTTTCCATTAGTCGGACAGACGGTCGTGACAGATGCTTACGCAAAATGCTGTGGTGACAACCGCGATTGAATACATTTCAAATGTGCTCACGGCAATGATTACACTCAATTTTTAATCAGATTACCTAAGCTAAGACAGTAGAATTCAAAGAAATGCTAGTTGGATATAATCGATAATGTATGCATATGCTTAGCAACTTGAGAAGCATCGCACGAAACAAAGCCAATAAATAAGAGACTCAGATAAATATGGTATTTCCGACGGTTTGGATTTCATGGAAACCGAAAATTTGTGTTAAATGTGCGGTTTATCAGGTTTGCAACATATTTAAGTAGAATTAATTGGTTCGCATTTGTATTGATCACGATTCTTTCATTGATATATATTCACATTATCAATTTCAACATCATTTTTATTTCACAGACCTCCTTCACGCAAACATCTCATCAAAATAAAGTGAAAAATAAAAAGGGACTCGGGCACGTTTGCAAATAAATGGCAATTAAATTAATCAAAATGCGTACAAGATGTGCGATGGGAATCTTTACTTTAGCATATCTCACATCGTTTGAATATTAATTTGTGCTGTTTACTTTCATCAACAAATTTTTAGCCGATGAAAATCACGTTAATATTCAGCAAACGGTCATTTTTCATTGTGGTTGATTTCCTCTTGCAAAGAACTTTATTGCTTCTCCGTAGCGCTTAAGGTCTTTGACATATCTTTGTAAAACAATCGTCTCAGAATATATATATATAAACTCATTTTGTCTTTTGTTTTAACAAAAGAATTATCGAAATGACGCAAATGAAATGTAAATTAAATGTTTGTCGAAGCGCAAAACAGAAGCACAAAATGAATTTTTCGATGAGATTCGCAAAATTAATTTGAAAATGGTCGTTTTAATAATGTTCACACCACACACCGAAAGAGAAACAAAATGCATATAGTCTAATCGGATTTGCAGAAGTAATGTAAATTTTTTGCAAGTGAAAATATGAGTCGCCCGTATAGCAATTTTTATTTGAATATCTAGAGTAAAAGAGAACGTTGTTTCTGTTTACGGCAATATTGAATGTTTTGTTTTTTCATATTTTGGAATCATCAATGGTGGTTTTCGCACTTTCATTTAATTAGCTTAAAAGTCTTATGAAAATGCGCGCAGCTCATGTTTAATATCACTTACGTGAAGTAGCATTGTCAATTAAAGAAAGTTGAAAATGGTATCGGTGTCCCCAAAAAACCATAAAATCCCTCGAATGTAAAAAGATTTATACTGTCGTCGATTTTGGTTCTTCGTTTTAAATCCAGAGAAAGTCGTCAGAATGTTGTATATTTCCAATGGGTACCATTTAATAGCCTTTTAACATGAAACATAAAACACATATACACAACGAACAAAATCAGTTCTCCTTTATTCCTCTTTGCGTCTCGTTTTTTTCCACTTCTCAACTTATGCGATTGAGAGTGATTGTTTTAACACCACACGAAAAACTGGTTTAGAACAAATTGACA